TKSCYKSRCGWGYTTCTCTGGTGTCAACAGCGGTGACAATAGCAAGCCGGCTCTGCATCATGTAACGGAGCTGGTGCAAGGGACACCATAAGCCTGTGGCCTCTAAGAGAGACCACACCAGCTCTCCTCAGGGCATCCCATCTGGACACTATGCTCACTCCCTGGTCCCYGAGTCTGGCTGCATTTTGGGTCACCACCAAGCTCACTTACCTGCCTCCCCTCTACCTGCCAAGAGGGTTTCCCTTCCCACTGCCAGTGTCCCCATTCAYCTCTTTAGAGGCAGCGTGTGACAGTACGGGTTGATGTATTTTGYGGAAACATCTTAATGAAATTGGCTATAGAAACCTCACTCATCTGCTTTACCTCACAGGGTRGGCATGGGGGTGAGGCCCTGTCCAATTGCAGCCCCCTTTCTGCACCAGGCCACATGCAGGTGACAGGCCAGGAGGGGTTACACCAATGGCCCCAAGGGTACATCCTCTCAGCAGCTCCAGGGTAAGCCCAGTCGCTGAAGCATGGGGCCTCTCCTGTCCCGGGGCTGCTTCTGGTAATCACTGTATCCTGGGACGTGGCACAGACAGGACTTGACTGCTCTTTTTTTTTGACTCCAATTGCTAGAGCTTTGCTAAAAGACTGGGAAGAGCCCTGGGCAGCAGACAGAAGGAGCTTTGCTCCCAGGACGGAGGAAGTCAGTTCACCTAATTGCTCCGTGCCTATCGACTTGATCCTCAAATGGAGCTCAAAGTGCCACGTTGTGCTGGCTAAGATGAAAYGTGTAGACAAAAGCCCTGCAACAGGCAACACAGGTATAAGGGATCTTGATCTGATGCATTATTACTGCTCACTGCCAGTATTCTGCAACTTTTAACACAAATGATATTGTGTTCAGGGGAAAAGAAAAGAGCCCTTGGGAGAGGGAGGAGGCAGCTGCTCCCAATTTCYTCACCATTTCTCTTCTAAACATCAGTAGGAGAGACTGAAGGTGCCCACCATTAAAATCAGATTAGAGCCAGGCRCGGTGACRCACACCTGTAACACCCACAGCTCAGGTGGTTAAAAGGACGCCTTCCCTCTACTGGATGTGGGAAGGAGGGGCTGATGCAGCTGTGTCAAGGGGACAAGGAAACTGGGTGACCACCAAAGGGCCACCTGAATGTACCCTACTGTCCTAGACTAAAAGCAGGTGAGCTTGTTCTCCCTGGGGACCACATGGATTAGGTGTGCTCCCATGGCAGCAAGCTTGAAAAGACTGTGCAAGCAAGGCAGTCATTGAGGGCGAACATTTGTAACTGTCAATGCAAGTCATTAATCAGCAGGAGATTWTCAGAGTCGCCACAGTGAGGTGATGTTTTGCAGCTCCCTCGTGGCACTGCGAGCTCCCGGGCATTGTTCCAAACTAGTATCCACGGAGACACCTGAAGCTTTTCACCACTGCTCTTGACACCCGGTGGGAAGCACGGTGAGTCCACACCCTCCTTCTGCAGGGAAGGCAGGAAGTACGGTCCATGCCACAGCAGCAGCAGCACCACCACCACTGGGAAGTCGGGTAGACCCTGTTCTCCCTGTATCAGCACCGGGCAAGTGCTTTAACAGTTCTTAAAGTGGGGAACTGTAGAAATTCCCCATGGAGCAGGGAGGAGGATAGAAATTGCACATGCAAAAGACACAGCACAGTACACGCTGAGCCAGTGATGGTCTCCCCTATGGAACTGGTACAGAATTACACTAAGACCAAAGTCTYAGGATTTGAATATTTGTTCAAAGAGTAATTATTACTTCTAACCCAACATTTCATTTTCCGGTGGTTGGCACCTTYTGTTTAAGAAAGTCTCCGATCACAGCTGCAGCCCTGCATTGCTCTACTCTGAAACACATCGGCAGTGCCAGGTTATGAGTCTGGCACTGCTGAACTTGACCTTATTAAAGTGCCAGGAGGCCTGATCTTATAGGAGGGCTCTGCATCCACTTTCCACAGCCAGATGCAGAGGGAGCCAAGGTGTATTACAGAGGACGCAGGGCCAGCACCTCCTGAAACTGCCCCTTTAAGTTCTCATGTTGGCAATGGTCTTTCAATCACCCACCAGCTATAATCACAGGCGTGACCTGCCAAGTCCTTACAATTGTTTTCTAAGGAGACGTGTTGGGCAGAGTTTTGTTTTGAATTTATATATTTACCTACTTGCTGAATTTTTGYACAAAGAATCGTCAAGTCACTGAGCTAGTGAGTTGTGTGTTACCACTGAATGAGGCACCTCTTAACTTTAGAAGCATTATTAGGATTCTTACATTTTCTAAGAGAAAAAGTACATGTATTTGGTTCCTGATGGTAAAACCAAATATACCAGAGATCACAGGCTGTTTATTCTTATCCACAATGCCAAGCCCAGGGTGGTTTCTAAATGTGGTTTTTTTCCTCCCCAGAATTTAGAAGTTTCTTGTCCAGCTTAAGAGCCATGAGCCAGCAGGAAACCACAGGTGCTCTCACAATGGCAAGTCCAGTGCTTATGCCCAAATGTCCCTGCAGGTCCTGGGACACAAACCTCGCTCCTGGGGTCCCTTACACTCATGCTGGCAATGCCCATTGCGAAGATCAAATCAACAGCTAACACCAGGCTGTCCACCTGCCGAGCCCCGTATTTCCTGAATCTCTARCCCACCTTTAGCCCCTTTAGTTCAGGGTGCTATGGGGACACAGAGTGGCCCCAGACAGAGTTCCCCAGACAGAGTTCCTGCCTTCARGAAACACAGACAAGTGGGGAAGAGAGAACCCACATGCATCTTCCCTTTGGGTAAGTGTCCCAGGGAACAAGCATTAAAGGCAAGTGGGGCAGGGAGGGGACATTAGGGGAAAGGCTGAGACAGGCAAGGGTGGGAAGCAGGGAAAGGGGTGGCAGCCACGGCAGGCGCCACTGAGTGAGGAYGTCCCAGGGAGGTGATCGCATTCAGGTGAGGCTCGTGGCTCAGGTGTGGATGCAGAGCACTACCAAGCTACAAGGAGGCTGAGGCCAGGCCCCAGGGCCTGTGGTGTCAGGTCTGAACAGAGGGTCACTTAGAAGCTTCCTGCACCCCAAGCCGAGGGCCAACACAACAGCTGACCAAAAGGCTCTACTTGGCAGAAAATAAGGCCAGAAAGTCCAAATACATATAATTTGGATCATCTTTCCACTGTCAAACAGAGAAAGGCAGCTCTGTGGGGTGAGAGGATGAGCACCCTCAATTCCGTTACAAACTAGACCTCAGCACAAACACACGCTGGTAGTGCCTGGAGACCTCACGGGCACCAAGCAACCCACAGAGAGYGGTCAGACCACAGAGAAGCCTCCAGAGAAGCACCCCGAGGAGTTATAGGGAGAAGCCCCTGCTCCTCCGTCACTGCGCCACCCAGATGGGCAAGGAGGGGGCTGTTTAATGGAGCTCCCTCCCGGTTCCTTCATAGCAGCTAAGAAATGGAGTCGGGCTTTCCTGTGTGATCCTCCTGTGGTAACGCACTGGGCTTAAAAGTTACCAGAAATCAGGATCTTGGAAAATAAAACCCAAAACCATCATAAAAGCCAGAACTGAAATGCTGACYATGACCAGGCTTGCCAGCCTCACAGAGGAGGTGACAGGAGGAAAGGGATGTGAGGTCTGGGGACACTGAGGACATTGGCCAGGGAACGTGGACTCCTCCTTCCTGAGAAGGAAGGCTCTCCTAAGAAAGAAAGTAGGGAAGTCAACCTGTGCGGTCTGCACCCCGCCTTCCTGGGCTTACTTAAGATGTGAGTTTTCAAGTCAAAGAGTTAGACAAACTGCACACACAGGATGATACTGAGATAAGCCCAATGCCTGGGGACCCTTCACAGGAGCCAAGCACTCATGAGCAAGGCTGRGGTGAACCTGTGGCTTGGGGCTTGATTAAAAAGTGTGGCCACACTGCCTGGCCATCCTGTAGGTATGAACAATAATGGCACCAAGAGACCCCAAAGTGGGTTGACCAACACTGAAGGTTTGCTGTGATRAATGCTTTTCAAAGTCACAGAAGGGACATAAGCCACAAAGCCAAGAATGAGCAAGCTCGGTAGACTCTCAGGACTTGGATTAGGAGGCAGCAGGCTGGTTCTCAGCAGGCACTGTGGGGTCAGGGGACAGCTGGTATYAAGTTTTAAAACACAGCCTTAGCTTCGAGTGCATAGGAGCCTGCAGGCGGTCACAACGGGAGTAGTAACGGTTACCTGRTTGAGAAGTGACTTTCCTGGCCCTTTGCTCCCTAGAGGCAGTATTCTCCAAGGCAGGGTGGGGGTCCGGCTGGCCACTGAGTTGCTTACCCTCTGTGGGTGAATTGAATTTGGTCTCGTTTACAAAGGTAGACAGGTCCGAGGGTTGTGGGAAGTCCTGTTTGTCAGCCTCCAAGTCCACTGTCATGCACGTCCACTTCTGATTGGTGACCGCCAGCTTCTCCTCATCGGTGGCGTGGACCACTGCGGAGATCACTGGTGGCGYCTCTGGTGTCGCAGCTGGAGTCGGGTCCTGCAAGGAAAAGCGAAGCCGTCTCTTGTCTCATTCATTGTCTTGGCCTATAACTGTGCCTGTCCTGAGTATGGGGCCCCGTTACCCAGCACAGGTCCTGCTCAAGCCCCTCCCCCTGCTCCCCCACTGTCTGCTCAGACTCTGCTCCAAATGACCCCTCAGGGAAACGCATTCTTTCTTCTCTAAATCTCCCTCCCTGATGTTTACTTCAAGGAGTGATCGTGGATTTAAAAACACACACACGCAGGACGCCGTGTCCYGGTTATCTGAGCCACTCTGCGGGTTTTATTCCTACACTGATGTGTTAGCTCCTGGGGGCTTCAGGCTGCCACAGCGACATCGTCAGTATCTCCCAACAATCCTCAATCCTGGGAGGACAGAAAGGTGTCTTACTGCCGTTCTGCAAAAGAGGGTGAGCCGAGCGGTGAGGGAATCCAGAAGTGAGAGCTAAGCTCTTGCAACAGGACCCCAGGCCCAAGCCAGGTTTCTGGTGCTTCCCGCAGCCCCAATCCTCATCAGGACTGGGGTTTTTGCTCACTGGGATGTGGAAGGTCAGGAGGTTTGCTTTTTGGGGACTGCRAGTGGCGAGGCAAACCTGCTTGAGGATGACCTCCCTGGGTCTCTGGTAGGGGAATACTAAGGAAGAAGGGGCTGAAGAGGGAGCCAGCCCCCACATCTGTAGGGCTCCTTCCCCCGCTGCCTTTGGGGGCTTAGCTCAGTGCTCCCGACAGACATCTCAGTGTCTGCATTCCTTGACCTCAAAGACCTTCCCGGCTTGAGAGGTGCATTAGTTCTCAGCAGGTTAACGGGGCAGAAGGGACCAAAAGGGATCCGCCTACAGAATCCAACTATCGCTTTCCCTGAACTTCTTCCTAGTCTTGGGACACGCTCTGATCTTTGCMGTGTGAACCCCCACCTCAGCCCACAGTGAGCAATCAAGTCATGAGGATCAAAGGAGCATCGTACCTGAGAGGGTGGATCAGAGAGAGGACATCGTTTTGGCGACTTTTTCACCCTAAATGTGTCACTGGAAACAGAATGGACAATGTCAACAAACAGAGCTACAGAGTGTCCCAAGCAACTCCGAGCAGGCCGAAGCCACCCTCCCTTGGCCCACTCCAGCACAGCCCATGACATCCATGCTGATAATTCAGTGACTTCTTAACAGATATTATTTTTACCCCCAAGGGAAAGATCCATCAAGCTGCAATTCTTTAAAGAGATGCCATTTTGGAGTATCTGACCCAGAAAATGAAGCTAAATTTAACTAAATGTTCCTATTTTACAAAGCAAATTTTGGGTGAGCAGATTAATTCATCTGGATTCTTCCAGGAATGTCTGAGCCAACTAAGGTTGGAGGAGGGGCCCTAGGCTGGGGACACTAATGAGCGGGATCCAGTTTTCACATGGGCAAGGCCACACAGGCCCACGCAGGGACACAAAGCCCTGGGTCCTCAGGAAGAACGTGCAGCATCCTTCCCATGCACRGGGATTTTAAGCTGAAAGGATTCCTGTGCTCCGGAGCAAAGGCAGGGCCAGGGGTCAGATGATTTTTAATGTTTTCTTCTAACCGTGGTTGACAGACATGGTTCATGACTCTTTTCCCATTCCTTCCCCTTTCTATGGGGGTGATAGGCTCAGACTCTGGAAGGGTCAAGGAGGCAGACCCCCAGGAGGATGGGAACACTTTTAGCACAAAAAGTACTATCAGGTCCAACAGATAGTCAGGGGTCATTTCATGGTCAGAGTGGAGGCCCTCTCCACCCTGCAGACTGGTCTCCAGACCATTCCAGCAAAGCAAGGGTTTTGCTGGGGGAAGGGTGCCTCTCACCTTAGATTCCATAACCTTCCTCTCCTTCTGTGTTAACAGGGTGGACAGGAAAATCTGTCACCCAATTTCCTTTCTCATGTTCTCACAAATAAAATGCTCCCACAATGGCATTTAATAATGGAGGGAAAATACTACCAATGGTTACTTACAGATTTATGGCATTTGCCTTAAAGGCAGTATAATCACCGCTCAAAGCATGTATTTATTCATGCATATACAACTGCATCCTGAAATTGCTATAGCGCTCAGAAATGTTAAAAAGAGCCGAAGAGACTCCCACTCTACTCTGGGGCTGCCAGATCTCGGGTCCAGCCAGCTTCGCTTGTAAGGTCAGGGAGAAGCCATTGGCTTTGGAGCCCTGGACACCGCTCACAGGATCCCCCTGGTGGGGGTGGGACGGGGAGCAGCAGAGGCACACAGGTGGTGGGTTGCACTGATGCTTGACTCACGGATGGCAGATGAGGCGTGCCGATACCTGGCTGGGGAACTAAGTGACCCAGGGCATGGCTCAGGGCAGCCTGGTGATGGCTTTCAGCTGTGGGGTTCACTCTGAGCTGGCCTCACATTTCAGGGGGCTCCTGGAGGCCTGAATTTGGAATGATCCAAACAGTTATGCTTCGCATATTGGCGAGGACAGTCTCTGCCTAAGCTTTGAGTGAACAGTGAGCATAAAGCCGCAGCGCTATCGAAAGCCGTCGCCTGCCAGCCCAATTTAAATCAAAGAATGAAATGAGGAGTTTAAAAAAAAAAAAAAAAGTATGGGTTTCAGATGAAGGCATCCAGTATGCAGGGAGAGAGAAAATTCCATTCCCAACAAGCAGGCATATGTGGGATAATCACATTTCACAGCCAAGCAGTCTCTCTATGCTAATCACTATGATACAGAAAAACCCCTGCTGCCGGGGAGCCCTGTGCCCTATCATTCCCGGGGCCCACCCCAGAAACACATCCGCAGCAGCATGGAAAGGAACTCAAGAGGGGTCGCAAGCAGAAACAAAGGAGGGGCAAGCACAGGGGGCGAAAGAGGCGGATTGCGTTAAATTACTTACAACAGAGAACACACAGACATCACATCTTCAACCATCCTAAGACCAGAAGACAAAGAAGAGAGAGACAGACAGAGCAACTGACAAAAGGATAGATCTGCAGACAACTGTTCCTGGCGGGCTAGGATGCCACCGTCACCCTCTGCAGATTCTGCCAGCTTTTTGCGAAGGGGCCCCGGGGAACCGCTACCTCCCTAGATTCAGATCATGCACAGGGCCCTGTCCTGAGACCTTTGTCACGCTGGGGTAGGAGCTTCCAAGCCAACACCCCATCCACCAGGGGTGAGACCACAAGACGTGGGCTCGGCTTCCAGGCCTATTAGCTTCAATGCTCAAAGGACAAAGTGGCTGGGGATGGAATGTAACCAGGCTGTCAGAGAATGTGGCTACAAGTTCACTCCTATTCCAAAGACCATGCTTTGGAGTAAGCATTTCAGATTCCTATTCCAGCATGGGTCCTGTGGCCCATCTAGGAAGAGGCTGATGGAAGAGATGACCTAAGAAAAATCCACATCTTTGGCCAGAATGACCTCCCAGCCTCCACCGGGCAGTGGGGTGGTACAAGGCCAAAGCCGGCCACGCAGAACCTCTTCTCAGGAAGCCCCAGCGGTCAGATGCTCAATGCATGAGGGAGCCCAGAACAGGAGGTTAGTGGGTCACCCTGTCTAGCTCATCCCAAGCAGACCCGGAGGGACTGCTACCTGTTCTTTTGCGCTGCCCCTGGGAGACTGGTCTCTGGAGTCTCGATAAATTATAGATGATGCCTCCCAGCACGACAGCAGAGGCTCAGCAGCCAACCACACTGCATGTGGCCCCGAGCCCTAGAATGGCCTGTAGCCAGCCAAGCCGGAGCCGGGGCTTGGAATGAACGCTGGAGCGCAGCCACACGGGACTCCAGGGCCAGGTACTCGGCCACGTTGGACAAGACTCCGTTATTAGCGGCTCCCTGGAGGCGGCAGGGTCTCCCTGCCCTTTGCAGGTTTCTCTGGTCTCTTTTGGACTTACAGCCTGGCTGGTCAGGTGTAGGGAGCGGCCCAGGGTACACTCCCCTCCACCTCCTGGAGCCCACCACCGTGTTGGGTTCTGGGCTGGCCTCGTGACAGGAAGAAACAGCTACTCTACACCCGAACAGTGTTTCACAGGGTACAGCTCCTGGCTTTCCCTCAGAAGGCCACACACACGCTCAACAGGCAAAAGGGTCCCGGTCACCAACCAGGAGGTGGTGGGGTCTCTTGGGACTGCTCCCCTTCTGCAGGCCTCCCACACTCCCCTAGAGTGGAAGGCCAGGTCTTCTGCTAGAGGCCGCTTGAGATCACTGACTGATTCACATGAAAGATCCAGGACTCCTGACCCCACRGGGCTCTGTGGGGGGGAAATGCCCCACGGCGGCCTCAGAGAGGAACGGGAACACATGTCCTGCCCTCCTGGGAAAACGGCGGCAAGCAGGGCGAGGCCAGGGCAGCTGAGGGCTACCCAGGACTGAGGGTCACGGCACTACCCCTCCCTGACTCCAGTCCTCACCACCTCCACCCCTCAACTTACGTCTTTAGGGGCGTCTTCTTCTTCTTGGCGGGCTTGTTCAGCCCGTCCCCATCCACTCCATTGGCTTCGATGGCACTGGCTGGGATCTCAAAGGAGGCTGGGGATTTAGAAGGTGAGCTGGGGGTCTTAGAGGATGTCTTAAAGGGATCAATGGACTCGTCACAGGCGTCTGGGTCAAAGTTATATGACTGTTGGGGCAGTTTGGGAGACTCCTGCATTTTTGAGGTGGAAGAAAAGGGGTTAAAATTGGGGTCATCCCACTTGTCAATATCAAAGGTGTAGGTACCTTTAGCCACAGGGATGTCATTGGGCTCAGCGGGGGACCTGGGAGGTGAGGCAGGGGTGTTGTCGAGTTTCTCGGGYGTCTTTTTCATCTTTGGCCTCCTTAGGGGCATTTTGGCAACTGGCCTTTTGCCTATCTTTTTGGTAGGAGGGGGGTTTTCCTGCTGGTTGTCCCAACCACCCTTGTCCTCAGAATAGTCAAACTCCAGCCTCACTGAGAGCCCTCTGGCCGGGGAGTCCTCTTGCCCCCCACTATCCGACGGGGCCTCCTCCGCGGCCTCGGGGGCCGTGGTCAGAGGCAACGTCTTCCTCCCAACAGGAGGTGAGTTCTGCACCCTGCCACCTCCAGAAGCCAAGGGGCTGGCGCCCTCGGCACACTCTGGGTCCAGAGGACAGGCGGCTTTGGGCGCGGCGGCAGGCTCCGGGGGCGTCTCCTCCGACGAGGCGGACCCTGAGCCCTCTGCCGCGGCCGGCTCCGTCTTCGTCTCCGACGCCAGATACTCCTCGTTGGAGACCGGACTCTCCTCCGCTGGCTCCTGCTGGGTCTCCCTCACTGGGGGGGTTTCTGTGGGCTTCTTGGTGCTCTGCTTCTTTTTCAGGGACGGTGGCCTGGGTTTTTTAGTTCTCTTGAGGGTACTGGAAGCACTGCACGAGCCTGTGCTGCCTGCGTCCGGGGCGAGGGCCACGGCCTCGGGGCTGCCTGAGCAGGAAGCACCATCAAAGTCACCGGCCTGCAGGCTCAGGGAGCGGGACAGCGTGGACTTGGCGGGGGGCACGGACTCGGTGGACTTCCTCCGCGCACTGGCCTTGCACTCTTGGCTCTTACAGTCCGAGGGCCGAGGCTCCAAGCTCTGGAGGTTATCCACCAGCTCGATGCTGTCAAAGTCTAAGTTGTAAGTCCCGCTGCTGGCTATCGGCTTGTCTTCATCGAAGACGGCAGAGGAGGAGTGCGGAGGGCGGAAGGGGCTGCCTTCCACGGAGTCGCTGCGTGGGCCATCAGGGACGGTGACCGTCTCAGAGCCACATCCTGGGGAAATGGAGACAGAGCTGTCACTCGAGAGCATGCCTCACCTCGTGCCAGATGGCTGCCCTCCAGACAGAGGGTGACAGACCCCATCCATGGGTGACTAGCGCCAGACCCTGGGCAGGTTAACCTCAGTTCCCTCAAAATGCATTTACCAAGTGCCTGATTGGGATGGGACCAGGCACCACGCTGAGGACTCAAAAAGGAAATGGACAAAGTAGATGTGATCCTTTCCTTCCTGGAAGTTGCAGCCTTCAAGAGGATGATGGTGAGAAAACAACTAAATAATAACCCAGACTGTCAGATGGTGCTGTGTGCTGGGAGAAAACCAGGGCAGGGAAAGGGATCACCATTTTAGGTAAGATCATTACGCAAAGTCCCTTTGATCAAAGACCAGACCCGAGGTCTTACACAACCAGGAGGATGTCCGAGGAAGAAGCATCCTCGGCAGAAGGGGCCTGGGGGCAGGAGCACCCTTGGTCTGTTAGAGGAACGGGACAAGAGGCCAGCGTGGTTGGACAACGGGAGAGGAGCAGGACAGGAGAACAGGCAGCGCAGGGTAGTCAGCCTTCCGCGTTAGCTAGCTCATGGGCACCCTGCTCCTGACAACTCAGAGCCACAGCTTTTACGTGGAGGACCCCAGGGGATGGAAGCAGGACTGAGCTTGCCCTTTGCCACCTGCCCCTCCAGATGTCACCTGGAACCTCTCTGAGCAATCCCTCCCGCGTGTCCTTGGCCTTGCCAACTAACTGTTCATTCTCTTCTCTTCATGTTTTCCCTCTCTCCTCGTCGACTGCTGGCCAAGGAGGCCGTAGATAGACCAAATGTTGGCCACATGGTGCTCMGTGACCTCTCCGCCCTGCCGCTCCCTGGGGATCCGGCCAGCCCTGGCCTCAGCTTGGCTACTCTGGGCTCTGCTTGCACCAGGGACACTCTCATGCATTTCTGGGCTCCCAGCTGTCTGAGCATCAAAGGATGCTAGGAAATGGTCTTCCAGAAAATTAAAAACGTGTCACTGGACGAGAGGGCCCATGTTGTAAAGTCCTCAGTACAGGGAGCATGCAGAACAAGGGACAGGAAAAGTTGGTACAAATGTGACGTGMGGTGTTGCCCAAGTGTGCTTCCCTTACAGTACCGTGTCCCTCTGAGTCCAGAGGACAGGCTGCTTTGGGCACAGGGGCAGGCTTCAGGGAGTCTCTGCCGACGAGGCGGACCCTGAGCCGTCTGTGGCCGGTCCCTATCCCTGTGGGAAAACTGCCCCTAAAGTCAGGATGCCGGGCTAAATTTGACTTCAGATGAATGAATACGGGTTTAGTAAGAGGATGTCTACATCATAATCATTTATTACCTGAGATTCGAGTTTAATTGGGTCCCTTGCACTTTTGTTTGCCGAATCTGGCAGCCCTACCCGTCGCCCCATAAACAGGCCTGGGAAATGCCCATACAGGTGTCTTCCACCGGTGGCTGAGCTGTCCCTGGTGGGGACCACACCTTGCTCACAAGCAGGGCTCGCTCCTGGAGCTGCACCGAGCCCCATCAGGCAGGGGAGACTAGCACACAGGCCTCCCCAGCAGGAGCTTGTCTCCTCTACCCGACTCCTCCACTGTCACACTCTGTCTTGCACTCAACAAATGCCTCCTGGATTGAGAGCACCTTCTGGAACCATGATGAGCCGGTCCAGGCCTCAGGCCTTCTCTTCTCTCCTCACCCAGGCCCAGCTAGGAGTGCACACCCTGAATACGGAACACCTGACCGGAGCCTGGGCTCAGCTCTTCCCACCAAATGATTTCTCCACCATCACCTGACCCCACTGCTTCCTGCTCATCTCAAAAGAACAGGTGCYACTCTTCTTTCCGAGATGAACTCCCCTCCTTGTTCCTGGGGGACTTTGTGTCCTTGAGCACCCCATCTTCCCATCAGCAGTGACCRTGTCGTCCTGCCCTGTGGAGGACCCTGGACACTGGGTACAGAGGGCAGAGGCCCAGAGAGGATGAGGAGGAGCAGGGGAGCCACATGGGCCTCAACAGGGAGAGAAGGGGCCCGTCATCTCCAAGCAAAGCCACGTGCCAGCCTTCCTTTGCTAAACTGCTGCTCCGTCTCCGCAGCCTTATGAAGTCAGGAGTTCTCCCTGAATCGTGCTGCAATCAGCAGATAGGCCGCTTACCCATCTGCTCATTTGCTTTCCCCAGAAGAAGAGCTCCTCCTGCTTAACACAGCTTCCCGCATGGAAGCGACACCCCATAATCCAATCACCATGGGCCCTGAGACCTGAGGCTGCTTAGCACTGCTTTCCCTGGGCATGATGGGTATTCGGGGCTRTTCAGATCTCTGTCCTGGAGGCCGGGTGTCCACTGGGCACACTGTACAGCACCCCTTGCCTAGACCCAGGAGACATCGGCAGCATGTCCCACTCCAGCGGAGACCATCAGCAAYGTGTTCAGACATCGCCCACGTCCCCTGGGGGGCAAAGCTGTCCCTGGTTGAGAGCTGCTCTGTTGGTGTGTGGTCCTCAAGCAAGCTGCTCCATGGCATTCGTCACAGGACTGGGAAGCCCTGCAATGCAAGAGGCCACTGCCACGTGCAGGCCTTGATCTTTCCAAAGCAAGTGTGGGTCCACTGGGTTCCCACGGGACTTCTCGATGTCCATACACATCTGCATGAAGACCACTCACTTCACAATCCAAGGTGCCTCTCAGTGACCTGCCAGTCACTGAGAGGCAGGAAAAGCAGGTAAAGGTGAGGAAGCACTAGACCCCAGGCCAATCCATCCGCATCAACATGCCCTCTGTCCTGTAGCTGGTGCAGACCTGGGCACAGCCTGCCCTGGAAACCTATACCCGGCAACTCCACATTTCTGACTCAGTGTGAGGACAAAGTTAGTATCCAGGCTCGTCACGTGAAAGAGCTCACTTGGGGTTTCTCAGCTCTGTCACTCAGCTCAGGTTGCCATAGCAACTACCACAGACTAGGGGCTTAAACAACAGAAATTCGTTCCTCACAGTTCTGAAGGCTGGAGATCCAAGATCAAGGTGTCAGTGGATTTGGCCTCTCCMGAGGTCTCTCTCCTTAGCTTGAAGAAGGCGCTTCTCCCTGTCCTCACACGGCCTTTCCTCTCTTCTCACAGGGCCACCAGTGCTATAGGATCGAGGCCCATCCTCTGACCCGTTAACCTCCGTGCCTCCTAAAAGGCCCATCTCCAAATACAGTCACGTTGAGGGTTGGGGCTCTAATATGACTCCGGGCTGGGCCACATGACCCACAAGGTAAGGGAAAAGTGGGTGCACTTGGAAACGAGAGGGAATTCCCAGGAAGGGGAGAGGGGGCAGTAAGTGGCCCGGGCACTAGTGCTCTGCCTGGCCAACACCCGCCACCTGCAGCTGACACAACCACACCCCCCTTACCCGGGGGTCCTCAGGATGGGCTGTGCTTCAGGGCCCCCTGCAGCCTCCCTGTTCCAGAGACCTGCCAAGAGGGGAGCAGCCAGCCAAGGGGTGCCTGAGTGCTTGGGGGGCCCCTGGTCTCAAAAACCCTGCCCCCCCTTGCTGCACCCTATGGCCTGAATCTGCGTCCTCCAGAAATCCCCATACCGATTCTCCCTCCCAAGGTGACCGTATCAGGAGGTGAGGTCCTTGGGTGGTGATTACAACTGCCAGAACAGACCAAGGCAATGCCAACCTGGGGCATGCTGCTGTCCCCTCCAAGCCTCGGCTGTAAACCAGACATTCTTATGAGGACGACGTCGGGGAGCCACCTAAGTACTCATTTCAGGGCACAGCAAGGGCCAGGAAATGACAGGCACAGCCCCCAAATCCTGCACATGCCTCAGTGACGCTGCTCCCTGTACCCTGCCAAGGCTGGGAAGGGCTCTCACCTCTCTGGTTTCTGGGAAGCCCGGCCCAGAAGGCCACCTGTCTCCCGGGTGAGTACCYACATGGATTGCTCCAGTGACAGCACACAGGGAACAGGGTCCTCTGTGGAGGGCACAGTGGAAACGCAAGCCACTGGGAACTCTGCCGCCAGGCCTGGCACTGGGAACCTTCCTGAGCCAAGATGACAGCAGCAGTCCACAGCTGGAGCCCCGTGGGACACCACTTTTTGGGGAGAGAGGAAAGCTGAAGGCACTCAGGGTKCAGGGTGGCTCCAGTCACCTCCAAGACCCCAACAGGGCCCTCCCCAGGCTGGGCAATCTCCCAGCAAGAATGAATGTACAAGCTTTGTCCCCGGTGGAGGACAATGTTCAACTGAACCCTCCTCGCCGCCCCCACCCCCTGCTACGCGCCCTGCTGACTGTCTACTTGCTGTCCCCTGACAGTCCTGTGCCCTGCCCTCTGCCTTAGTGCAGCCCAGGCTGCAGCTCCCAGCACGGGCTGTCTCACAGAGCTGCACCTGCAGCCGTCTGGGCATCAGCGACCACAGTGGCCATGCTCCCAGCACCTCTGTAGAGCCAGCAGCAGGTCAGGGGCTGAGCGCAGCTGCCCACAGCGCCACGTGGACAGCAGCCTGCTTTCCAGCGYAAGGAGTCATCCTGGGAAAGGGGTGTCACGTGCGTGAAGGAGAATTCTCTCACCTGGATGGGAGATGACACACTGAAAAGTCCAAGCCCAGGCCCAACACAGGGCAGAGGCTTCAATGGGAAATGTTATGCATCGTGTGATATTTCACTGTGTCCCCAGTGGCCAGGTCTGAGTTCTGATCACACAGCCACCGTACAATAGCCCAGCATTCCATTCACAGGACCCCCGGTCAGAGGGGAGGGACCTCAGAGGCCCTGCAGGTGGCCCTCCTCATTTACAGAGAAGGAAGCTGGGCTCCAAGAGTCCCGCCCCGCCCCAGTCGGGGGCAAAGGCAAGGGCAAACCCCGCTGTGTCCACAGCCCAAGGTCTGCTCTGTTATTTCACGAGGTTCCTCGGGCAACTTTGGTAACATTCCAGGCGCTGAAGAGGAAAGCCAAACAATAGCTCTTCCTCTCCTGCCCATTCTTTCCCATGGTTCCCAGGACAAGCCTTTCTTTAGGGCCCCCCACAGCCCCCAGAGCCCCCCACGCCACAGAACAGGCACTTCTCACGCCTCTGCCATGCCCCATGAGGGTCTGCAGAGTGGATGAGGGGATGCCACTTCTGGGGGCGGTCCTCACAGGGCGGCAAATCAAACGGGCCTTTGTGCAGCCCGAGCAGGGGGGACGCGGGGCGGTGGGAGTCTAACCTTCCGCTCCTCGCAGCATCCTCCCCTCAGCCTCCCTGCAGTTCTCGGGACGGGCGGAAAGTCTCCATTCTCCCTGCTCCACTCCAGGGGTGTAATCAAAGGCTCTGAGGACGGTGACTCAGTGGCAATCCACATCCCCAGCCCCTTCCCCCGGGGGCCTCCCATAAGCCTCATCWCGTTCACTCTGATAACCGCCACCTAAGGAAGAGGTGGGTGTGGCGCGTGTGTGTTTTTAAGAATGGAGATTGTTCTCGGCTTTGGCACAAGGAAGAACGCAACAAAAAGAAGTGGAAAACTGTTCCTGAGAGCCAGCAGGGAATCSGACAACAGAAGACGAGCCCACGGTCACGAAATGACCTTGCCCTGCAGGGGCCTTAATCGTGTGCTTGACCCAGGGTTCACAAGGAGGTGGTCATTCAGTCACTTATCATCAAAAACTGGGCGATTTGTAAAAACCGTACGGGAAATACGYTTTTACATGATTATATAAAATAATAAAGGAAGGAAAGCAAATGGCTCTCTGGGAACTGCAAGCAGCCCTCTGGGTCTTCCCCACCTCAGTGAGATAAATACCAATCCTCACGCTCTCGGAGCCCAGCCTCCGTCCTGACTCGGCAGAGCCCTGACTCTGCTGCTGGCTGAGGAGATGCTGAAGACTGGGGACAGGAAAACAACGGGTCCCACYCCAGCCAAGGCTCTGCTCTCGTGGAAACGGCCCCTCCCATCTTCCTCTGCCCCGGGCAGCCCACCTGTCAGGGCCAAAGCCCTGGCCTTATCCTTTTTCAATCACTGGCCTTCTTACACCGGGCAGATAAAATCAATTCCAACTTTTACTTTCTAAAATCAACATCAAGGTCAAAATATTATTCTATTGTACAGCTCGGCTGACTCCTGACCCAGGCAGGAGCACAAAYGGAGGCCCAGCCTCACCCTGACCCTCTGCCCACTGCCAGCTCCGTCCCTCCTGGCTGCCTTGAGCCAGGCTGTGCACACCCAGCCTGCAGGTCCCAGGCTCAGCCCAGTTCCTCCGCAGGCTGGAGGGGAAGATGACTAGGACTGGGGCTGGGGTGGACCTCCGGTGGCTGCGGGAGGCTGACGAGGTCTGGAGGGAGTCAGCTCCCCATGCTTGTTAGGTGGGGAGGGCCGGGACCCGGGGAGGGTCAGAGTGGGTCCTACAGTGTGGGACCCTGAGGCATCCAGGCCCTAGCACAGCACCACTTGGCCTTGACCCGCCTGTGGGGCCATTTCAGGCAGGCCACGTCTCCCTCCAGGACTCTCTTAAGCTTTCTAAGAAGGGTGTCTCTTCATCCCCACTGGAGAAACCGGGGGAAGCACACAGCACCAGCCATGGGGCAGCAAGAGGTGGGGCAGGCTCTGTTCCATCCTCAGCAATCCCCACGTCTAAACAGAATCTAAAGGTGTTGCCACTCACAGCAGGGGAGGGTGGGTGTGGAGAAGCAAGAAAAATCAGGTAGCCCCAGGGTGGTGAGGCTCCGGCCAGCATGGGCCGATTCTCTCTTCTTACTCCCCAGCCCACGGGGGCTCTGTGCTTGGAACACAAGTGCAGAGTCACATCAGCTGGACAAAGCCTGACACTCTCACAGGAGCACGGGGTCAAAAAGCAGAATCCAACATTCTGCTGGAAAGTTCCAGGACCCAGCTGCTCCAGCTCCACACCATCTGAGTCTCTGGGTAACAAGCTCCCAGTGCAAAGCACACCCAGCCCAATCCAGCCCRATCCACTATAGGMGCTCACCCCAGCCTTGAYGACAACCTGCAAAACACAGGACACAGCCCAGAGTCAAGGCCCAGTGCTGCGGGCTGTGACTAGTCTGAGGGTCTTGCTTCCTCTGTGCTGGGGTGGGCATCTGCCTCCAGTGTGCACTGCCAGGAGTCACCGCCCGTCTTCCAGGGGCCCTGGCCCTGGCCCTGTGTTACCTGGTTCTTCCGGGGCTGGTGGTACGCTGACCTCAGGCTCTGGGATGACTTCAGGGGGTGGCGGAGGTGGGGCTGGTGGAGCTTTGACAGGGGTCGTTGACTCCGGGGTCTCAAATGCTTCTTCAGAGTCAGAACTCCTGAAGGAGAGAGGAGAGAGACAGGTCAGACAGGGCCAAGGGCAATTCTGCACGTTGCGCTCCAACACAGCACCAGCCACGGGGGCAGCTAGAGGTGGGCCCTCAATTCAACCACCTGGGGACAGAGGTGAGAAAGTGAGGACTTGATTAGGACCAGACCCCTTATTCTTTGAACTCAGCTCTACTCAGATCACATACTTGTCACCTCAGGGGAAATTCGCCCACGGCAGACTCTCCGGGGGAACTCTGGTAYCCACTCCTTGGCGTCCATTCAGACCCAGGGCAGTGTGCGTGTTGGACAGGGTGGTTCTTGTCACCTAAATTCCCACCCCATGGAGTTAGGTGTCCGTGCCCCTCTCCCTCCTTCCCAGCGCCCCTCATAAACTGTCATCAGAGATTTACTCACTTGCTAATAATCGTGTCCTCTCTTTCCTCCACGGGGCTGTACATGCCATGCTTGTTCACAGCACCCAGAGCCCCACACCAGGACAGTGAATGGGCCTCTATGAGTGAGTGAAAGCCAGAGAGCCAGCAAGGACGGGCACCAGGCCAAGCCACAAAGCTCTGCCTGGGAGCCCGAGGGTGTGGACACGGTTCTTKTGGGCCCTGCAGGACAAGAAAGGTTCTCCACCTGGAGATGGGGACCAAAAGTCCGCCCCGAGAAACTACTGTCTGTCACATGGGCAGCCAATGGCCAAAGCCTTGCCCTGGGCTAAGACAGTCGGCAGACGCCCTGCTCCCTCACCTGCTTCCACAGGTGCTCCGTCTTAAGCCAGAAGATGAGGCTCCCCAGGTGACTGGCCCGCATGCTGCCTGGGCCAGAGGGCAGCAGTACACTGGCTCCAGCTGCCCGTGGACAGGCGCCCCACCACAGCTACGTGGACGGTCAGCGTGGAAGTGTCAGCAGCGGGCCAGTTCCCACCTCGGAATATGATAAATAAACCCGAACACCAATGGGTTCATTTGCAACAAGGCGGTTAACTACCAAGAGGGTGGGCTCTRAGGACTGCACATTGGCATGAATGACCTTGGCAGGCGGTAATGGGGCAGGTGACGGGGAACACGCTGTGACAGACACACTGGGCTGCACCCGTGCCGCTGAGCCAGGGAGGCCAACAGTGTGGGGCAGGCACACTGCTGGCCTCTCCCGGGTCAGAGGACCGGTGACCAGGTACAGGCCACCATCTTCTAAAGACCAACAGCCAGAGAGCACCAGGAACCAAACCAATCCCTCCACTATCTGCCAGGAGGACAGAAAGGGGCCATTTGGTGAGTTCCCTTGTGMGAGACTCATAGTGCCAGAGGTCACCCCCACCCACCCCCCATAAGGACCTTGACTCCTCTAACCAGCCATGAAGTCCTCCAGGGACCCAAAGACATGAACAAACCCCAGAGCTGCTCTTGATGGGCTCCACTGGGCCGAAGCCAGCACAGTATCGAGTTTCCTGAGTAAGTACTTACAATTCATGCAAACACAACAGGGAAACTGACTTTTTAACACACACACACATTAATATTAAAGGACTGAGCTTTTGTCCAAGAGGAGAATTTAAGACCCATCCCCACAGGGACGGTGACAGATCTAGGCACGTGCGATTCTGCAGAGTCTGTTTACAAATATGAGAACACAGGAGGTCACACCACGCAGCAGCCAAGAGGAAGGAGAGCCTGGATCACCTTGGTGGCCGGGGTGGACTCTGGGAACTGGCTTCCCCACCCTGCCCCCAGCATCGGGGCAACACTGACAAGACGCACGAAGCCAACTTGCCTCTCTCCAGAGCCTCCTGGAAGGGCCAGTGGCCCGGGAGCCCGGCTGCTGCTCACCACCGTCCACATCCACCGGGCCCATTCCACCGGAGACCACATCCGCCAGGAGCCAAARGCCATCTCCACGGAAGAACAGCCTCTGTCCCCCGAATTCCCAGCCCTAATGTCCTCGCTGGTATCTTTGAGATCTAAATCTCTTTCATTATCACCAAAACAGTTAGCCACACCACCAGACACAGACGCCATGAGCTTCTCCGGCATCCAGAGGCCCCAGTGCCGCTCCACCCAAGCTGAGATGCAAGGAGAGGGACTGAGTGTCCGTCCCCCTAGCTTCTGCATCCCTGGGCACTGGTGACATGTGACTCTGGAGCACAAAGAGCCCTGGTCTTTCTCAACAGCACAGCAACAGGGAGGGCCGGATGCTCTTGGGGTCTAGCTGCAGCTGCCCGATGGCACACCTGCTTGGAGGGACCGCCATTCACGGGGCCTGTGTGGGAGGCAGCGCCGGGGGTGGGCAGGGCAGGGGCACACCAGGCCCTTTGTGCCCCCTATCCTGTTGACTATTAACTATTTCTGCATCAAAACACTGGGGTCCACCGTGGGCCACAGGAATGGCACTCACTTCCGGAGCCGTCTGCCTTGTTTTCGTATTTCCRCGCCCTCTCCTGGGAGGGGAGAGCAAGTTAATTAGAGGAGGCGGATGGCAGCTTTTTTAATTAGCTCTTTTTTCCCTATTCAGTTTCCCAGGAGCTCGAAACATTTCCAAGAGCAAAAATTTCTACAGTCCACCCACAAAGAGTCTGTACATAAAAATAAAGCAGCRTTTTGGAGCCCCAAGGCACAAAGGCAATTCCCACAGGCTGTTTTCTTTTTTGTTCCCCAACCAGAAAAAACTAAAATGTAAGAAATTACTCTGTGATGGCTCCACACACTTTAAAACTGGGATGGGGCTGGGGGAGGAAATTAATATGCCACAAGTATGCATCACAAAGAGAAATGTTGTCATTACAATCTGTTAAAACATCCCTAAATTATAAGTAAATATATTTCCCTAGATGGGCATATGCTATGTTCACCATATAAGTAAGTATGCAAATACGATGTGTATATTTCTATGGTCTGAACAGTTCTTAATAGCCAAACATAACACAGTGACTCTGATTCTCAGCATGAGAAGCATAATTACTATAATTTGTTGAACATTTTGTTATGCATCAGGCACTGGACTGAACCCATTTGTACACTTACTTATAATCTTCAAACAGACCATTTTACAGATGAAACAATCATGGCTTAGAGAGGCAAATTACTCTGCCCTCGGCCATGTAGTTAGTTAGCAAATGATGGAAGCCAGGGCTCAAATCCAAAACTGTCTTTAAAATCCATGCCCTTTTCACGATTTCTGTGGCTTCCAAATGTTTTTAGCAAGCTCAATTTATTGTATGTTCTTATCCTAAAGTCTGTCGGGGATGAACTGAGAGCTGACACTGGGGCTGGGGGTGCCCACTGCAGCATTATCTCTGCTGATTTCCCTCCTGCTCACACGGTGCCAGGACAGGTCCTGATCACCCATGAGCTCATCACAAACAGCCCCTGTGTTTGCAGAGCTTGTCCTCTGATCCRGGGACAGTCTTCAACAAGTCAGGCAGGGCCGCAGAGCCACCCACCTGCAGGACACCACCCACCAGCACACGGGGGTACGCTACCGTGTGAGGTGGCACACAGGGAAGAGGGAAACCTGAGCCTGCAGGGCTCCCCAACTGTTAGGCCAGCTTAGGGGCTTTTTTACCCAGCTATTTTCTCAGATTTCAGAGACGTCCCCAGAGCTCTCAAGACTAAGTCTCAAAGCCACAGTTGGAGGTTGTCCAACACAATTCTGAGTTCAGCCCTCCCCAGTAATGCRCTGTGTCAAAACAGGTTATGAAACTGTCCCCAAAGCCAGAGTGTGGACTCTCTTTTCCCTTTATTTGTGATTTGGTTTAAATATTTTCATGTTTTTACTTATATATGAACTATGATAGTATCGAGTAGTATAAGACCAGCACACACACATGATATAATAATATATACATCCACTTGTACATATAGAAATACAGATCTACCTTTGAGTGTCAGTGTGTGCGTACATAATGAAAACATGGRCGTCTATTAATAAAAAGGTACTGTAAATATGGTTTCCCAACACATCACTAAGTGGTTCCATTTTGCTCAATTTTTACTGGAGAAAATTCAAGGTCTGGGGATAATAAGTAGCAGAGACCATACAAGTTTCCAAAAGGAAAGTTAAGCGATCTTTTTATCCCATTTGTGTGGTTTAGATATGAGGTGTCTTCCAAAAGCTCAGGCGGAAGACGATGCCAAGTGTTCAGAGGTGAAATGATTAGGGTTATGCGAGCTGTGGCCTACGTAGTGCTGGTATGGGTTAACTGGGCAGGCAGGTCATCGCTGGAGGAAGAAAGTCACCGGGCTATGCCTTTGGGGTGTACACTTTGTCCTTGGTGAGAAGAGCTCTGCTTCCTGGTCGCCAGGTTCTAGGCTGCTTTCCTAGGACATCCCTCCACCTGGATGCTCTGCCTCACCCTGGGCCCAGAGCTAGAGCTGGCCGACKATGGACTGAGCCTCTGAGAMCATGAGTCAAAATAAACTTTTTTTCCTMTAAACTGTTCTTTTCGAGTATTTTGGTCACCATGACAGAAAGCCGATTAAAACACCATCTTTTTTAAACAGGGGAGGAAACTGAGGCCCAGAGACCTGGAGCGACTTGCCCAAGTCTCTGGCCGGTTTGTGGCAGCCTTAGCCAGAAATTCCACAGAACCAGGCCTGACTCCACCAGGGGCTGCCTCCCAATAGGAGTCTGTGTTCTGCACCACCACGCCCACCCTGGAAACCCACAGTCACCCAGTGCTACCTGATGATCAAGACTGGCTGGTYAGGAGTGTTCATGTTTATCTATTTCTAGATCAAGTCCCAAGATGAAAGTGACCTGGGACTGGATGGGAGTTTGGGGACCACCCACCCAAACATGCTAGACACAGGGCCTCCCCATGACGTAAGACACACCCTCTGAGCTCCATGCAGAGGTCAGTGCTGCCTGAGGCCAGGCTGCCCCTTTCTTCACCCCGCCCCCCACCTGGCTCTTGAAGATGAAGCCCAGGCAAAGGCCACGGATCTGGCCAAAAGCTCTACTTTGGGGAAGATCAGGCAACATCTCTAGGCCAAAAGACCATCTGCTG